TGCAGTGCTGCTTCAACGCCCAGGGTGTTCTGTTTGGGGGGCCCCCAGGGGGCCCCCTTGGAGATTGTCTATGAGGTAGACGATGACTGTCTCTAAAAGTGCATGCAAAAGGAGTCGTTGCTTCTGCTGCTTTTACAGAAGCAGCAAGTCTTAACTTTGTACAAGAAGGAGTGGGGCTGGGGGAAGGTCTCTGCAGCCGCTGCTGCTGCTGCTGCTGCTGCTGCTGCTGCTGCTGCAGTTGCTGCTGCAGGTGCTGCTGCAGTTGCTGTTGCTGCATCGCCGGACTGCCCTTAAGGCCAACGCTGCTGCTTCTGCATCTGCTGCTGCTGCATCTGCTGCTGCTGCTGCTGCTTAGAGAAGCCCGTCATCATAAGAGATGCCTTAGAGTGATGTGCAGAGCCCCTAAGGGGGGCCCCCTACGAGGGAAGAACAGCAAAGTGTACGGGGGGCCCCCAGCAACAACTTCGTTGAGCTGTCTCTGAGTATAGATTGAAGCGAAGAAGCACCCATAGGAGAGTAGCTAAGAAAAGGAGTAACCCATTTGGATGATAGTGTTGGGTATTTAAGGAGAAAGACAAAGAAAATGCAGAAAAAAACAATAAATAATCTACCGGCTGTACAGAGGGGGCCCTGTGTTAGAAGGGTGGGGTTAGTTGAGAGACCGGAGGGTTCAAACAAAGAATATATTTTTAAAATATTTATTTTAATTAATTTAAAAATATATTTTTAATGCAAAATAATATTATTAATTCAATCATAAAGGTAGGGTCTGCCTCTATATACTCCACCCCTCTATGCTACGGTGTATAGGCATCTCAACTGCAGTTTTGTTTGTTATTTGTAAGATAAAAAGAATATATTTTAAAATAAATTATTTATTTTGTTTATTTTATTGTTTATTTATTTTATATTTCTTTTTAAATGCATGCAGCTTCTTTTTTTTAATCTCCATTTGCTGCTGCAAAAATATTAACCCCTCATAAGTGATGCTGATGTTCGTCTTCTGTTTCATACGCCACATATTATTATTATTATTTTTTATTTATTTATTTATATATTTATTTATTTATTTATTATTATTATTATTATTACTGTAAGTATATGTGTTTATTTATTTGATTGAAAAGGAAATGAATATAATTTAATTTTTTATTGTTTGTTTGACGCGCATATCTTTTTGTGTTTTGTTTGTGTGGTTGTGCATTATCATATTCAATTAATTAATATAAATAATAATAAACTTTATAAAATAATAATAAATAAAAGGATAAAATAAAGTTAAATATTATATTGAATAGTTATATTGAATACTGCACAAATAATGCACAAGGCATTCAACAAGAACATCCAGATTAAAATTTATTTATTTATTTATTTATTTTATTTATTTTATTTATTTATTTTATTTATTTATTTTATTTATTTATTTGAGTTATTCATAAGCAGCCACTGCTACCAACACCTGAGTTTGATAGGCTCTGTAAACGTATTGTATATATACATATACACATATATAAATATAATATATATATATAGATATAGATATACATATACATATAAATATAATATATATATATATATATAGATATACATATACATATAAATATAATATATATATATATATATATATACATATACATATAGATATAGATATACATATACATATACATATACACATACATATACAAATAATATATATATATAATATATATATATAACCCATTCAAACATACATCAAAATGCATTCAAATAATGCTTTAACTCTTTATAAAATTTATGAAGACAGCTGAGATGCACCAGCTAAGAAGGAGCGGCAAAGGTTGTTAATTAGAGGTTGAATATAATCTTACTGCTATTCAGCATTTATTGCAGGAAGCAAAGCAGCAAAAGAGATATAAAAATAATATATAAATTAACATCTTGCTACCCTTAGCTTGTTGGGTTGCTGCTGTCTTGTTGGTTTGCTGCTGCTGCTGCTGCTGCTGCTGCTGCTGCTGCTGCTATTTTTTTTTATCTCTGAGCTCATCGCTCTCTGGTGCTTGCATTTTGAATATTGTGCAGATGTGCTCAGCTCTTATCTAGGGCTAGCATCAGAAATATAATATGTTTGTTGCAGTGTCAGTTGTAAGTAAAATTAAATAAATCTGAGAGCCCGCAGCTTCAATTGAACAGCCCCATTGCTCTGCATGCATGCGTTTGAACGGCAGCTTCTGTGCAGCTTACATTTTCTTCTGTCTGTAGAGCTCATCCACCTCGATATTGTTGCTATATAATATTTTATATTATGCAAGACAGCTTTTAAAGCAGCAGATGCTTAGGCTTGTCAGGGCTAGCATTACTTAGAAAAGGAGTTATACACAAACTAGCAAGGCTTCTGTCTGCTCATTATCTTAGTATTTTGTTTTCTGATTGAAGATGCCATCATACCATTAGTATTGCCATCCTAATATTTTATAGAGAGCTTTTTTTATCTATTGTAGCAGAAGAGCAGCAAACTAAT